TAGACTGAAAAGAAAGGTTCTTAGTCATTCTAAATTTGAGAAAAAATGCTTGAGATAAAATATTCCATGCCAAAGTTCCAGCCTGCTAATTTCCAAAACTGGTTATTTTGCCTGGAGAATCTGTGTGAAATCCAGGGAGTGCTTGAGGTTTTAACAGAAGATGAAACTGATGTAACACATAACCAATATGCAGATTGGAAACTGAAGAATGCGAAAGCAAAGGGTCTCACAATTCACTCTTTAACAGAAGAGAAATTGATTCAAATCAGGCATGAGAAAGCAGCCAAGAGTATGCTTGCCAAGTTAAAATCACTATACCAAGCTGATCAAGGACAGAGTGTTGCAAATTTACTAAAACAAGCAACACAGTTCAAATGGCATGAGAAATCAGAATCATTGGATCAATATATTCTGAGAATGCAAGCAATATATGATAAATTGGCTGTGGCAGGTGAAACTTTAAGCAAAAGGATGCAAGTTATTCTGATAATTCAATGCCTCCACAATTCAGTTCTTTTTCTGGGACATATAAGGAGCATAAGGAAGGGTTGTATAATCTGATCCCTTGCTTGCAAGAAGAGCATATCAGACAACTGAGCTCAAGTTACCAAACTGGTCCTGCTGCTTTTACAGTTGATAGCTTCTTCAAACAGTCAAAAAGAAATCTCAGCCAGAAGGAGAAGAAGGAAACTGATAGCAATCACAAAAAGGAACAGTTGGTTTGCTGTCTCTGCAAAAGAAAAGGACATTTTGCTAGAAACTGCAGGAGCAAAGCCAGAAAAGCCTAACCAAAATGATAATAATGAAAAAAAGACAGCCATGCATGTGTATAGTCTTTAAAAAGTCAGCAGACTTCAAGCTTCTATCTTGATACAGGAGCTAATCAGCATCTAATTAAAGATGCTGATTTGATCACTGAACTCAATCCAAGTCCAGTGAAACATATACAGTAATGTGTGCAAGTGGCCAGCAAGTAGCAGTACATGGTGAAGGAAATGTTTTGCTCAGATGCAAAAATAAAAACTATTAACTATCAGAAGACCAAGATAGTCGCCTTTGGACAGAGACCCAAGATTCGGTCATGGCAAATAAATGGACACAGTATCGAGCAGGTGAACAACTTCAAGTATCTGGGGGTAGTACTACAGGCCTCGGGATCTAGGCTTCAGCATAGTAAATTTGTGGCAGATCAGGGAGAAAGATCGGCAAATAATATAGTAAAATTCCATCTCTCCCAAGGAGGGTCCTTTACACCAGCAGCCCTCAAATGGTATAAAGCAAAGGCGTTAGCTCAGCTTCTGTACGGCTCATTCATGGGGCCACCCAGCTCTCACTTTGCACCACAAGAAATAGTTCAATCCAAATTTCTAAGATCTATACTCCAGGTCCCGAGATGTGTGTCAAATGCAAGGATAAGGCTAGAAACAGGATGCCTTAAAGTAGAAGCCTGGATTAGGATTCAATCTACATATATGTGGCTAAAGGGATCGTCGTCGTTTAGTCATTTAGTCGTGTCCGACTCTTCGTGACCCCATGGACCAGAGCACGCCAGGCCCTCCTATCTTCCACTGCCTCCCGGAGTTGGGACAATTTCATGTTGGTTGCTTCGCAGACACTGTCCAGCCATCTCATCCTCGGTCGTCCCCTTCTCCTCTTGCCGTCACACTTTCCCAACATCAAGGTTTTTTCCAAGGAGTCCTCTTCTCAAGAGATGGCCAAAATACTGGAGCCTCAGCTAAAGGGATAGTTAAACCCAAAAGGCCTATTTTCCTTGATATTTAATGATAATTATCAATCCAAGGGGGTTAAATCAGTCCAGGGCTACTTGGGGAAAATTGGCCTCTCACCTCAGGCACTTATATCTTCTGGAATAGAGCAGGCAAAACAAATAGTGAAACAAAGAATAGAGGACATTGAATATCAAACAGACCTCTCTAGTATTCAAAACATGGCAGCAAGGATTTATATCAAAAACTCTATGGAACTGGCCAAATACCTAACGTCTTTGGAAATTAAAGGAACTAGAAGAGCCTTTACTTTGGCAATGTGTTTGGCCCTCCCCTCTGCTGTACTAGAAGGGAAGTACAAAAATACCCCTTTTGCTGCCACCTGCGGGAGATCGAGACCATACAGCATATGTTCTTCACCTGCCCATTGAATGAAGCAGTGCGAAAAGAGACTACAACCCCCTTAATAGATAGATTCCCAGGACGCTCGGAGGAAAATAGGCATGAGTTCCTTCTCTCAGATGTTGATGTGCAGATCACCTGTCGGGTTGCGAGGTTCTGTGTAGCAATACTTCGACTACGGAAGTTAAATACCAATTAGATTGCAGTTCCCAGTTGCATGTATGCCAACATGTTCTAATGGAATATTGAAAGTTAGAAATTTTAATGTTTTATAAGGTTTTATACTTATGTGACTGGTCTAAGGACCGTAAATAAACTATATGGGATACCAAATTTTCTGAAACAAAGACCTGGGAAACTTGAGCTTCTGCTTGCTGTGTCAAACCAAGACTGTCTTGCGAAGAGCTGCACAGAGATCTCCTTTGGCAACACAGCCCACTCCTCCTTTGCTAGTCTTCTGGACCTGAGAAACTTGAGCTTCTGCTTGCTGTGTCAAACCAAGACTGTCTTTCCAGAGCGCAGTGTCAAACCAAGACTGTTTTTCCGGAGAGCATTATGTCATGACAGATCCTTCCAAGATTCTCTCAATTCTGCACACTAATCTAGGAGGAAACTTCCTAGGAAACATGAAGCTGAATCATACTAGGTTTTTTACATATGCAAGAGGAGCATATTGAAGCTGTGTGCTCATAGTGAAAAGTGCCAGGTGTGCAATGGGCTTGCCATGAGGCACTCACCTGACCTGAGACTAGCAACTCATCCATTAATAGCTGCAGCTTCTGTGATTCCTCTTGTGCATGCATACAATCCCAGGAGTCTATCTAGAATAATGTTTCTTTGCTTTTCTACTGGAAGCAGACTTTCAGGTCACACTAAATGTTTATTTGGATATTGTTATGAAGGCTGGCTGGATAGCTCTGTAGTTTAGGTATCTGGCTGTGGAGGCTAGAAATTTGATTCCCACTGTGCCTTTACTGAGAAGAGTCAGCCTGTGTAGCCTTGGGCAAGCTAATCACATGCCAAGCAGAGCTTGATAAATTTGCTTTCTTGGACTGCAGTTCTCATCATTTGCCTAGCCAGTATAGCCAAAATCTTCCGATGTCAGAATGAGGTCACAAGCTGGAGGGGTTGTTTCTCTGCAAACTGACAGACAGTTAACAGTCAGACTGAGCCTTCAACTGGTCAGGATGGATCTTCCTAGTAGGTCAAGAGTTGGAGGTGAGCTTTACTCTTTGACAGCTACGGTGGCATAGTGCAGAGTGTCAGGTAGGGATTCAGACACCTGAAGGAGTTGAATTCAGTCCTAGGCCACAGAAACTCTCTGGGAAGTGGCAAAGACAAACCTGTCCAGGAACATCTGTACCACAAAATCCCTATTAGGGCTGCAGGAAGTCATAGATGACTTCAGGGTCCAGGACAGTGATACAAACCCTTCCTAAATACGGAATAGTTTTAAAAGAACATGTCAAGATTTTCATTGTGCTTTTCTGCCTGAGTAAGGCAGCCAATTTGAAGTCTCCTGCAAGAACTACACCATATTTTATGTTTAATCTTAGCTCCCAGAGAGGTTTGTGTGGGTAGGATTTTCCATCTCAAAGGCAGTGTCATAGCATGGTGGGCATAGGGGCTGTGGCCCTGGGCATCAAATTTTTAGGAGGTACATAATTTGTCTTGTTCTGGGTCCTGGCAGCTTTTGCTAAGCCACTGAGCTCAGAGTTCACTTTGGATTTTGCAATAAATAAATAAAAATCCTTATGTGTAGAAGCCATTTTCATCATCACAGGCTAGCTCCAAACATCAGAGGCTGGTACAGAATGGTGGCCTGAAAAAAGAGGATAGGGCTACCTAACACAGGGATGAAATTATATTCAGTCCCTCAAAACGGGTTTTGTGGCCACTGGCCCAGGGGCATTGGACTTTCCTACTGGGCCGCTGGTACCCTCCCATGGTTTTCCCCAGTTGTACCAGAGGGTGAACTGCCTGTCCTGGAAGGCTCCAGGAGCCTAACTCCTTTCTTGAATAGACTGCTGCTCCACCATGCTTGCAGTTTCATACAAATGCACATGTGGGCAAAAATCCTTTTTTCAAAACTGGAAATAGACTTGCAGCCACCTGTGGTTGAATTTCTTTCCAGGGTTTTCAATTTCTGGCACCCCATGCCCACCTCAAGTCTCCACGATCAGAAAACCGAGCCCCAGACCTGCTGACCTTGCTTTATAGGTGCGCAAGAGAGGGACTTCTTTGTGACTCCACCAGCTAGATTTCGCTGTTCGTCACACGCATTAACGGTAGAAGAGCCCTACCGCTTTTCTGGCCATTTCTAGGGCCGAGAAACATAGGCTGCATTGACAGAACAGGATCCCTGGCTACCTCATGTAGCAGCGAGGTCCAGGCCTTTTTAGTCCGAAACTCACTCTTGTTTAGAGTGATACTATGGAGGATCCATACAAAGACGGAGAGGAGAGCGGTGGTATGTCTATCGGCCCAAGAAATTTGGCTGTGTGTAAACACAAAATGTTTGTTGACATTGATTCTCCGTAGTGTGTGAGCTACAATATCTGCTTCCCGCCCTGTTGTATATGTTTTTCGGCCCGCACGTCCAAAGATGATGAAGCAAGCTGCTCCCCCCCGCCGCCGCTTTCTGGAGTGGGGGTGCCATCTCTGCGTCGCACCTCCACCTCACTTGGCAGCTGACTGTGTCACCGGAGATTTTCGGACGCACGGAAGAAAAAGAGGGGCTACAACGAGACGGAGCGAGTGGGGGCAAGTGGTCCGCTGAGTCTATCGGGAGTTGTAGTTCATCTTCTGTGTTTCCTTCCACGCTGACCACTAGAGGGACTCCGTGTCCCAGAATCCGATGGGAAGCCTACTGCAATCACGTGGCCTCATCTTGGACGAAAGAGAGCCGAAATAGGAGGTACCGGCCATTTTCTGAGGGACTGTCGCTGGTGCTGCCGCTGTAGCTGCCGTCTGCTCGCCCCAGAATTGGGTGTCCTCCGCCGTCGAGGCCTCACCAGTTGTTTGCATTTCTTTCTTTCCTCTATCCCACTGCCGAACCTGAGAGAGCCCCGGGCGAACCCAGCCGCGGCCTTTTCCCCCCGAGCAGCGCCCAGCCACAGAATCGCATGTCCACTATCCAGAACCTCCAATCTTTCGGTAAGAAAGAACTCCTCCCCCCCTTTGCCCCATGTCTCTGCACGCGAAATAAGATTGGGTCCCGCCGTGTCTGCGATTCTCAGTCCAGGTCCGTCAAAGGAGGTAGAAATGGTCCAAGGCCTGCCTCTGTAAACCTTCCTGTGCTGACCCCCTTTACCTTTCGACTGCCCCTCGGTTCTTCCTCGGGTCTTGCGGTCCTTTGTTTAAAGCCTGGCATTGGGACGGTGCTGGCATTGACATGCCGCTGTTGTGGCTTTTATTCTTTATGTCACCCGTGGTGAAAAACAGGCTGCAATTAGTGGGTCCGCTTTCTGCTTCTCTTTCTGTTTCACTCCTTTATGTATGTAGTATGTAGTTATGTGCCGTCAAGTCGCACCCGTCTTACCGCGACTCAATAGGGTTTTCAAGGTAAGTAAAATATTTAAGGGTCCAGGTGGAGCAGGAATTTGAACCCAGGCCTTCTGAATCCTAGCTCTTAGCTCTATCCACTATATCATATTGCTTCATATTTCAGTTTAAGCTTCTTCAGACTTTGCTTTCTGGCCTGCTTGGCATTAGCAGAGAGTTCTCTCCCTCCCACCTTGGCCCAGAAGCCTTTTGTTGAAAGCTGGAATGGGCAAAAGGCTGTTTTTGGAGCTCCTAGCCCTCCCACAAATCCTTTTTCACTAGGAAGGATGAGAATCTCACCTCCAGTAATAGTGATTTGCCTTTAAATATGTCACAGATAGTATAGCATCAATCGTTTTTTGAAAGAAAAAAAAACAAGTAGACATTCAACTACTGTTAGTCTCCCCCCCCCCCCCTTTTGGGCAGTCTCCAACCTCCAGAGCATACTGAGATCCAAAATTGGTACCTAGGGCCATTGAATTTGGACCATGGTTTAATATTATTCCTTTTGCCTTTTATTCTGTAAAAGACTGGAAGCTGTTAGGCTTGGATCTTCCTGTTCCACTGCTTGAATTCTTTAAGAGAACATTAATAGAAATATCATACAGAACTCTTCCCTATTTTCTACCTCCACCTTTTCCCCTTACACAAAGTCAGGATCTGTGCCTATATGTCTGAAAGATTTGTGGTTGTCTTGCACTTATATATTACCTGAAAATGTGGATGTTTCAAGAATGTAATCACTATGTGCCTCATTGGGCTTTGTCTCTATTGATAAACAACAGGGCTGATGCCTTCTTAGAAAAATAAACTATATTGTCTATGTTGGGCTGTTTGATCTGGCATCGATGGTGTTAATGCTTAAGGTCTGTTTTCCTGAACTGATGGTCTAGATGAGATTGCTTAATGTCAGCCTTGAAATATGTGGTCAGATATGTAGATTATATTTGCCAGTGTGCTGACTGCTTAGTCTTTGTTCTCCTGGATACAATTTTTTAGAATATTCTTGGATAAGATGCAGTCCCATTATCTCCACATATTAGCTAATTGAATAGGACTGTGGTTCCGAACCTTGGATAACACAGGTGTTCTCAGATTGCAGTTCCCAGAAGCCTTCACCACTGGCTGTGCTGGCCAGGGTTTCTGGGAATTGCAGTCCAATGACATCTTGATTTCCCAAGGTTGGGACCTGCTTGTTTAGGTTGTTGCCCACTGATTGTATACTATCGGAATTTCACTCAATAAGTGGCTCTTTCCGTTTCACTGGTATTGGGAAACGTCTTGTGGTAATAACAATTGCCAGCTTCATAAAACTTTTAATCCTCTATAGATCCTCCATGAGTAAATCTTTCTAATGGTGTATTGGAGAGCCTTGGTATAGGTTTGCAAGTTGGCCAGTTCACAGTTGAAATCATGGCTTAGGGAACACACGCTGTATTTTTTGTGAAGAAGCTGCATTGGGGTGGCTGTTCCTCCTTTTCTTTTAAGGGAGTCTTCCTTTTCAGCTTCCTTTGAAGGATCAGTGTGCATTTTTTACATAATTCTCCTCAGCTTTGGATAAGTTGCACAGCCCCAGAGTGCTGCCAGGTGACTTCTGAGTACTCTAAAAAGCCTGGAAAAGGTTGCCATAAGTTGGAATCAACTTGATGGCATTTAATTATTAATTATTCTTAGATAATGGATCAAAATCTTATTGACATTTTAGACCTAAATCAAGGTTTTACCATTTCACATTTCAGTTTTGGATTCTAATAATTCTCTTTCATACCAAAATTTTAAAAGAAATGTGTTCATATAATATTAACAAGCTAGGGAAAGGGCTGTGCTTATCTCTGACATGGTTTTGATCTGGATGCAAGATTAGTGCCTTAGAAGAGCTGCCTTATGTTGCTGTCACCTTTGACATTATGCTTCCGATATATTCAGAGAACATTTATCTTGGAAGCAGAATGTTCCTGCAATATCTAGCATCAGCATCTCCTCTAAAATACTATTTTTTTTGTTTTGCCTTGTATACTCAAACTTCTTATACACTTCCAAACAAATAAGTTTTTCGTTTCTCTGAATTGTGACGTTGCAATTTAGTTTGTAGGGGGAGGCAGGAAGTTACCTTTATTTTCTTCAGGGTGCATTTCACTGCCTACTGTCTTGAACATAGAGAATCAGATAGTTTTGATGATTTGAAAACTGCTTGGCTCAGTCTGTGAAGCAGAACCTGTTGCCCTCCAGGTGGTCTTCTAACTGCTGTCAGCCCCAACCAGTGTGATCATGGGAGTTGAAGTTCACGGGCTCATGCTTTCTGTAACTGATCAACAGTTTAAATTTTTCTGTTCTGCACAAAATATATTCCTACTCTAAAGCCTAGTTTTAATGAATTGATATAATAAGTACGTGTCAATGGCTAAAATCCTGTTTGTGTAAATTATGGCATAAGGGCGATGGTGTCATCAGTCTACTGAATGAAATCATTTTCATGAGGCATTAGTATTCTGTGGTGTAATGGTGATGGTGTCATCAATGGGCATTTAAAAAAAATTAAGGAGTTTCCCCTCACGTTCTGATGCCCCTAGGGGTCCCAAGTACTCTCTCTCGTAAAAATGCCCTGGTTGATGATATCATCACCATTTTGCCACAGAATACCTCAGTGCCTCAGAAGAAGATTTCAGCCAGTGCAACATAAAAACCCTAGATTGTCAATGAGAAGATTCTAGTCTAATCTCATTTGCTGTTAGAAACGTAACAGTTCCAAATGAAGGCTTAGTACCTCTTAAGAGCTTTGATATACAGTATTTAAATCTTTGAATAAGTCAATATGATTTTTGTTGCAACCCAGATATGATTAAAGAACTGCATGGCTGCAATGCAATCTGAATATCACAACCATTGGAAATTCAGACATTTAGAACAGGTTTTACACTGATTCTGCAGCTTGTACTGGATGTTACCCTCACCATTGCAACCCCTTGTTAGTTTGGCAAAGCTTTACCCTCTAGGTTTAGTTGCAGAACAGCTTCTATATGTCACTGGATAAGTCCGACAGACTTCTGGGGTGTTTCATAAATGTATGTGTGTGGAATTGGTCCCAAACACCACTACTACAATATACAAGATTTGCTGAAGTAGAAGGAGATAGTTGGAATTTGAATGATCTGGATAGTTGGTGGGCTTCAACTTTGGAACAGGCAGGAAACAGACCTTCACACCAAAAAGATAGAAATGTGGTGAGTTTAAAGGGGAGAATTGCAGTACAAGGGCAATATTGTTAAACATCCCTCTCATTGTCAAAGTGTCAAATGGACTGTTAGCTGGTACTGTTTTCTAGTCTGTTTTTCCCTTATCAGTGATGGTAAGTCCTAAAAATAATGGTTAAAAAATTATTGTGGCGATCATTGAGGTGAGAATAAAATTTGAGTTCATTTGTAGCAAATTATTAAAAAGGATGGGTCTAGTATGCATCTCTTGGAGGGAAAAATTGACCCAAATCCACAAATACATTGATTACCTTACATGATGTTAAACCTACAATTGTATGGATAAGTATAATAAGGAGCTGCTATTGCTTGAATGAGGTAGGTCAGTATATTAAGGCAGTATCTGCCATTTAGGAGTGGGAATTTGACGATTTGCATTAGGCTAACTTGTGTGAATTTCCCAATTCCCAGACCCCTTTGCTGATGCAACTAAGGGTGACGACTTACTCCCGGCAGGGACTGAGGACTACATCCATATAAGGATCCAGCAACGAAACGGCAGAAAGACACTAACTACTGTTCAAGGAATTGCAGATGACTATGACAAAAAGAAGCTTGTGAAAGCCTTCAAAAAGGTAGATCTATTGTTTGTTAGGTCTTGAAGAGTTTGAGCTAGAAGCATCAGCATCTGAGAGTTGTGGCTTCAGTGTAGACGTACCAGTGAAAATGTGATGGTTGTAAGTTTTATAAGAAGAGCTGAGCTAGATCAGCCCAAAGATCTGTCTCATATTATATAAACCATAGCCAGTGTTTTGGACTTCATCTCCTTTCAGTCCTAGCCAGCATAGGCAGTGATGAGCAGTGCTGAGTTGCAGTCCAGCAACTTTGCTCATCCCTGCTTTCAAGTGAATCCAAGCTACACAGGCAGGTACACTTTTGCACAAGACAGTTAACATTTAGTGGCAATTTGTTGCTTAAAGAAATACCTCAGTATGTTATGGACTAATCTTTGACAATACCACTTATGTGGCAAAAACATGGATTTGAAACATATAAGAATTTTTAGTATTCATTTCTGCATTTTTAGCAATGTAGTGAATAGAAGAAGTGATGAACATCGACTAATGAATGAGTTATGAGAGTATAGCATAAAGGGAACGTTGGCAAAAAGGTACTACACATACAGTGGACCCTTAACTTACAGACGGCTTGACTTGCAGACTTTTTGAGTTACAGACTTCTCTGGCTGCAAAATTTAGGTTTGACTTGCAGCCTGAGAATTGACTTACAGACCAGAAAAAAACCAAAATGGAACAAAAACGGCCTGTTACGGGATTAATCGGTTTTCAATGCACTGTAGGTCAATGGAGACTTGACCTACAGACTTTTTGACTTGAGAACCGCCTTCCAATACGGATTAAGTTCTCAAGTCAAGACCCCACTATATCCAATTAAGTAGTGGTGAGATCTGAGAGAAATGTGTGGAGTGATAATTATTTGGAAAATGGGAAGCTGGGCTAAGAAGCCCCCGGGTCCTATAATTTACATAGGTAAATTGCTGATCTTAGTTCTGTGAGTGCCAGGAGCTGTTGTCCAAACATCTAGGAACATCTCCTTGAAAAGTTCTTGGGGGGGGGGACTACAATTTTCACCTGTTCTGGAAGCTGTGGTTCCCCCCACCAGAGGGGGGGGGAAACCCTTCTAAGCACTGCTAAGTCAGTGTTTGAAGTTTGGTCTGTTTCAAACACAAAGTTAGCCCAAGTATTGGGTATTTTTAATGTGCAAGTGATCCAAACATAATTTGCTATTGCTCAGTGTATGAAATATTTATCTACAGAAATTTGCCTGTAATGGTACTGTGATTGAACATCCTGAATACGGGGAAGTGATCCAGTTACAAGGTGACCAGAGGAAGAACATTTGCCAGTTCCTCCTGGAGGTGAGTCCCTGCAGCCTTAGCAGTACAGCCTGCTAGCTCAGATGTTAAAATATACAAGAAGCTTGTTTAAATTAAACCAATATTGTGAACACTTTGGCCCTGAACATGGTGACATGACAGGATTGAATGAGTCACTAACCCAGTTATGAGCAGTACTGCTGCACTGACTAAACTGATAATAGTTGCAAGCTGAATCATCAGGCTGGGGAAAGGGAATGAATATAACAAGCTTGACTTTGGCAGCCTTGCCTGATTACATTCGCAAGTGAATCGATATATATATCTGAGTGGCTGGATTTATATAAGGCAGCATTTAAGCCGTCTGACTTTCTTTAGTGTAATATAAAAAGCTGCTGCAGATGATTTTTAATAGTCTCTAATCATTGCCTGCTGACTCCCACCCACCCCCATTCTTGTAGGCTGTGATAAATTCATGTGTTCATTTCTGCATTGATAAGAATGAGGCTCTAACTACAGAAGGTCTTGCTGTCATCTGTTTATTTTCTACAGGTTGGCATTGTTAAGGAGGAGCAGCTGAAAGTTCACGGCTTCTAAAATGTGTGTGCTTATATGAAAAACTCTGCAAGTTTTGTTCTTATCCAAGCTGGTCAATCTGTGAAATATGATTATTTGCAGTAAATGGACTTCCCTTTCAAAATCTGGTTTGCTTTTGCATGAGTGCAGAAAACATATGGAGTGTAAACTAGAAACACATAAGAAAACTGCAGTAAGATGGTAATACAAGGTCCTCAAGAATTTTAACACATTTCCAATGGAAATGTTCTACTGCTGATAGTTCAGTGTATTACTTTTCACCTGATTTAAATGTTGTATTGAAACCATGTGTGTTGCAGATTAAATAAAATGTCTCTTATCTTAATCTCTTGAGCATTTATGATTTATTAATTGTGAGCCATCAAAAATGTTAAAATTAGTCACAGCCTTTAGGTCATCTGGGAAACCAGGAAGAATTTCAGACAAACTATCTATACAGCAGCATTGACTGCAAGCTTTCACAAGGATTTCACAAGAATCTGAGGTTCTGTGAAATAGGATTCTGTGAAATAGGTTTATATGGCAAATACAGCTGCCTAACTGGGTAAAGTGTAACTGACATCTAGGAAATGTATGCCATTGTTGGCCTTGGGTGGAGGTCAGTTCCTGTTCTGGTACTAAAATACTCTATTGCTGAGCATGCTTCTCAAACCTATGGTGTAATGATGCAAACATCTTCATAACCATTTGTAGTGTTCGTAGTAGAAATGTTATTGATTGCTCTAGTGAGGGCAGCTGTTGTTACTTTATGAAGCTGTTTGTGATGTGCCCCTCATGTGTCCCCAGGTGGTTTCACTAGCCTGAGGCCCACGACACGTTCTTTACGCTGCCACCAGATGACCTCTGAACACCCTTTAATTAGAAAGATTGAGGTCAAAGCTGAGTATAAAGTTGAACAACACAGGTTTATTGATTACAGTTTGCTTAAACAGGTTCTTCACAGACATTAATATATTCATTAGATTACTGTGTTGCCCCAAAAATGAGACAGGGTTTTATATTATTTTTTGTGCCAAAAAACTCATTAGGGCTTATTTTCAGGGGATGTTTTATTTTTTTTTTCATATACAACAACCTACATTTATTCAAATACAGTCATGGCATCTTCTGGTTGCTGCACAATGGTGGAAGGCTGAGTTTCACTTAACTGGGGTTTATTTTTGGGGTAGGGCTTATATTACAAGCATCCTGAAAAATCATACTAGGGCTTATTTTTAGGTTAGTCCTTATTTTCGGGGAAATAGGCTAGTAATATCTTCTTTCACTATTAACTCTCTTAGCTCTCTATAAGTTCCACACTCTTAACACCTAACTGACACACTCTCTAACTCCCACAGACAAACTCTTACTTCATACTCTCTGACTTTCCCTGACTGAACTCCTCAGACTCTGACTCCCAACAGCTCCAATTAGTGTATGCACATAACCTACTACATGAGCCAAAGCAGGGTGATCACCACACTGTTCCTTTCTGGCTTTGTAAAGGGTGAATTGTATCAGTGAGAAGCGCCTGCTCCTTGACTACAGACACCAAAGATTAAAAGAGTGTTGACATTTGAATGTATAAAATGCAGTCACTGATTTCCAGGTACACATCATGTCCCATGAAGTTGTAGGGAACCTGAACTGGTTCTTCACCTGGTTGTCTACCCATTCCAAGACTTTGGAAGATTTACAATATATTCTTATGAATTTATGTGATTCAGTGTAGCTGGATTCAATGATGGTGCTACATGCATACTACATGCTTGCATATATAGCTGACCCAAGTGGACAGCTAGATTAAAATTCACAGTAAATTAATGTATTCTCCTGGATCTAAAGATAATTACTATTTGAAATGCATTCTGCTTTTGGCAAGGGCAGGTACCATCTTTTAGCCACTTCAGAAAAAAATTCTTTGTGAGCAGCCTTTGTTGGTCAAGTACTGCAAACTGGGTTTGGCAGATAATCACAGGCAAACTATTCATACTACTTCTGGAAAGTCCTTTACTGTCAGTTTTTGGATATAGTCCACCCCCCCCAATCACCTTAGCTCCAAGCAGGCAACTGTGATACATGATCATCTTGAGCTGATTATGTGTCAAGTGAGCTTACATGTCAATACTGCTAGTTCATTGCTGGAATTTGGTTTATTTGGGGGTGATACTTGTTTGAGAAGTATGTAAGCAATTACACAAATTGTTGCAGTTTTTTTCATATTAAAATTACAACTGAGTCATAGTTTTTCATGCATGAATAGACTGGAGGGTCGGGGGGGTAGCCATTGTTTACAAATCCATCTTGGAGGTTACTAGGCACTCCTCTGTGGTAAAGCCGGGTCTAGAGGCTCTCCACATGTCGATTGGGGCCAGGGATGGTATTGGGATCTTGCTGGGTTACCGCGCTCCCCACAACCCAGCCATTTCCCTACTGGAGCTGGTGGACTTTGTCTCCGCGGCACTGTTGGGATCCCCGAAGCTATTGGTTTGGGGGGATTTCAACGTGCACACGGGGGCAGAGACTTCCGGGCCAGCTCTTGAGTTCTTGGAGACCATGGCCTTCTTGAACATATCCCAACATGTCAATGGCCCCACCCACGTGGGCGGCCACACACTTGACCTGGTTTTTTCCTCCAGTTGAAGCGAGAGTGGTCCGATGGTGAGTGACCTCGAGTTGGTCCTCTTGTCATGGTCTGATTACCACCTAATAAAATGCACCCTCAAAATGGCTCTCCCCCCTCGCAGGGAGCAGGGACCCATTGTCATGGTCCGCCCTCGAAGGCTACTGGATCTGGCTGGATTCCAGGATGCTATGAGAGGTGTTACGGCTGACCTGGCTGGCGCTCCTGTCGAGGCTCTGGTTGACGGTTGGTTTGCCGCCGCAGCTAGGGCTGTAAGACACGATCGCACCTAAATGCCCTCTCCAACGCAGAGCCCGCCTGGCGCCCTGGTTTAACCAGGATCTCCGGGTGTTGAAGCGGTTTAGGAGACGGCTAGAGCGCAAATGGA